ATACATCCAAGCGGCCTCCCACTCGCCCATATCCTCATCATAGGGGATAGGCCAACCTCCTATGTCCAAGCCAGTCAATACAGCGAAGTCTAGAGGCGTCATGGTCATGTCTCCAGTGGCAGAGAAATGAAAGGAGTTGGTGGTGTCCCACCATCTCTCTACCAATGCTGCCATCAAAGTCCTCCTGGCGGAACAACGTGACAACCCAACGCAGAAGGGCCCGAACCCTGCCAAGTCTACCAAATCTCAGACCCCCTCCGGGAGCTCAGCGTACCAGTCCCGCGCGGCGGTGGAACCATACCCCCGTACGCTGCGGGAACCAACCTGCATTCAGAATGAATACATGTGTCAATAATGAGATGAACTGCGCTGTGTGCCAATGAGATGAACTGGGCTGCGTGCCAATGGAATGAAATGGGCTGTGTGCCGATGAAGTGAAATAAGCTACATACAAATTCTAATCTGGGCTGCGTGTTCAGAAAATTTAAAGTTTGGGCTGCGTGTTCAACTTTTTATCAGTGTGGGCTGCGTGTTCACTATTTAATTTGGGCTGCGTGTTCAGAAAATTTGAAGTTTGGGCTGTGTGTTCAACTTTCTATCAGTGTGGGCTGCGTGTTCACTAATTCAACTGGGCTGCGTGTTTAGAAAATTTGAAGTTTGGGCTGTGTATTCAACTTTCTATCAGTGTGGGCTGCGTGTTCACTATCTAATCTGGGCTGCGTGTTCAGAAAATTTAAAGTTTGGGCTGCGTGTTCAAATTTCAACTAGCGTGGGCTGCATGTTCACTATTCAAATCTGGGCTGCGTGTTCAGAAAATTTAAAGTTTGGGCTGCGTGTTCAACTTTCTTTCAGTGTGGGTTGCGTGTTCACTATTCTAATCTAGGCTGCGTGTTCAGAAGATTTAAAGTTTGGGCTGCGTGTTCAACTTTCAATCAGTGTGGGCTGCGTGTTCACTGTTCTAATCTGGGCTGCGTGTTCAGAAAATTTAAAATGTGGGCTGTGTGTTCACTTTCGAATTCGGGCTGTGTGTTCAACAAATCAGTGTTTGAGCCGTGTGTTCGCCTCTTAACTAATGTGTACTGTGCGTTTGCAATTAATTAATGAGCCAATTGTTCAGAAATTCGGGTGCTTAAACTACGTGTTCAGGATGCAAGTAAAGTACTATGTCATAAGCTAAACTGCGTGTTCAAGCATGTTCAACTTTCAATCAGTGTGGGCTGCGTGTTCACTATTCTAATATAGGCTGTGTGTTCAGAAAATTTAAATGGTGGGCTGTGTGTTCACTTTTGAATTCGGGCTGTGTGTTCGACAAATCAGTGTTTGAGCCGTGTGTCCACCTCTTAACTAATGTGTACTGTGCGTTCGCAATTAATTAATGAGCCGAGTGTTCAGAAATTCGAGTGCTTAAACTACATGTTCAGGATGCAAGCAAAGTACTATGTCATAAGCTAAACTGCGTGTTCAAGCATGGCAAAGGTGCGAAATGTACGAAAAATGCAAAAAACGAAGTAAAATACAGAAAATGAAGTAAATACCTCTCGGGCCTCATGGGAGAGGTGATGCTCTGGCTCTCGGAGAAGCAGATCCCCGGGTGCTCGCTAATCAAAATCAGTGAAATGACGGAAGACGGCACGAGGGAGGACATGTGCTGGCGGATTGTACCTCCCGGGAATAAATGGGCGGACCCTCGGGGGCAAAGTCATAGGGTCAAAATCATCTCCGGCACCTGGAAAGCCTCCACCATGAGGAGAATTACCCGTCATTTTCAGAAAATTTGCAAAAGGAGCAAAAATGAGTGAAAATGAGCCAAAATTGGAAAAAGTCAACAAAAGTCAACTCTCGGGAAATGAAAAGTCAACAAAAGTCAACCCCCGGGAAAATTTTCCAAATATTGAGACAAACTCACCTCAAGTGGCGAAAATGAGAAAGGAAGCTCCGAAACCAAAATTTAATCAGTTCAAAGTGCTTGAAACTGAATATTTTTGCGGAAACAACTTGCGCGGGGCGTTGGAAAACGCGTATGGAACTCAGATCTGGAGAAGAAAGTGTTGTAGGAGGCAAGAGAGGAGAAGAACTCGGCTGCATTATATAGGCTCCAAGTCTTGGGATGAAGTAGCATGAAGAAAGGAGGTGAAAAGACCAAAGTGCCCTCGGATTTGGGCATATGGCCGGCTGGCCACCTTTTCTAGCCGGCCAGCCATTTCCTTTTTGGAAAACCGGCCGGCCAGCCATCCACTTTTTGTAAACCCAGCCGGCCACCTCCCCCTTCCCATAAAACCGGCCGGCCATGTCCCTCACAGGCTCACCTAGCTCCCTGCAAATTTTGAGGAAGATCGGAGTTCCCGGGACCTGAAAAAGTTTAAGAAAAGTACACTTCCGGTCGCGAAATTGCTCCGCCGGAGCTTCAGCTTCAAGATCTGACATGTGTCTCATCATCATTCATCAAAATCAAAGTGTATCCTTTTTGAATGAGTTGTAGCCTTTCCGGGAAGTGGATCGGAGGCCGTGATCGAGTCGCCTTCGCCGAAACACGCATTTCCGTACTCGTTATTTCATGACAAACGGGCACCCTGATTTAGGCTCGCTTTGCACTATCGTGCACATAACTTGCATTCTCATGAGCATACTTACATTTTTATGCACATTTCTTGATATTGGCACACCTCTATGCTTGAGCATGCGTTGTCACGCATGTTCCACTCTTGCATTGCGATGCATTCACTCACCGGCACTGC